GCTGCAGGACCTGCATGCCCCAAAAGAGGGCTGGGACTTTTACACAGGGCTGGAATATCATAAAGAACTTGATGCATTTTGGGGCTACCTGAAAACAGAGGCCAGGCAGAATTAAGGGAATAAAAGCTGTTATATTTTTTGAAGGGTCTTCAGGTACATTTAGGGCAGACAAAGTCCCCAAGGGGCTGCACCCAAAAATGGACCACAGGTTTTCACACTTTTATAAGTTTGGTCCATTTGCATATTGGGGGTTAATCTTCCAATTAGAGCTTCAGGTAGTAGTTTACCCCAATTTTGCTGCCCCCTAAACTCACTTTTGTTTAATTTCTTGGGCTCTGAGGCAGTGAGGTGTCCTTGACTGCCAGGCCTGGAGAGGAATTGTTGTGTCTGCCCAGAATGGGACACAGCAGCTCACACTGTGCATGGAGTTTAGAATTATACACTAAAGAGCTGCAGGATTACAAATAGATGGAAAATAGAAAAGCTCAAATCCTGAGGCATCAAAGTCACTTCAGAAGCAAAACCACCTGCCAGGCACACTGCAGGCACTCAGCTTTCCCCAAAGGTTCAGCCCAGCCTGTGCCCTGGCAGTGCCATGCTGAGGGCTGGGCACAGAGCTGGGGCCACAACACCTCTGTGTCACCCTTGCACCAAGAATGACACAAGAACAGACCAGAGATCAAACTGCAAGAGGAGAAAAAGAAGATTTAATACAAAGGATTCTCTGGCTTATACAGACCGATGTGATACATTCTACTGGATTGGCTAGTTAATAAAAACATCTTTCTCTCACATCGTCCTTGAGAATAACAGGAAAACAAAGTGGAAATACACCACCTGCAGATTGGTTATACTAACAAGTTATCACATTCCTACAGCTCCCTAAAGAGTCTCACAAGCCACTGTGAGAAACGATTGCCATTTCTCCCTGCCTGACCAGGCTGGCATCCTCACCTCTGGGGGCACACAGCCTCTGTGCCAGCTGGGTTTTGGGTGAATTTGAGTGCCTGGGAGAGGCTGGAGCAGGGATCCACTGGCATCCAGCAGTTGGTGTGAGCACCTGCAGGGATGGTGCCAAGCACAGCCAGGCTCTGCCCACCGGGGTCCAGCTGGCCACAGGGCACTGAGCAGCAGCAAACTCCTCCTGAAGGGCACTGGGCACTGCCCCAGGACAGGTGATTTTAGCAGGGTTTGTAATTCTTCTGTTCATTTTGCCATGCCTTTTTCAATGCATGCAGCCATGGACAGGGCTGCCAAAAAGGTGTTTTTGGTGCAAAGAGGAGGGGGAGATGTGGAGTCCAGCACATCCCTCTGGCTGCCCTGGCAGCCTCTAGACCCTGGCACAAAGTCAAAAACACCTGTGGCTTCGATTTTAGCCCATGGAAAAAGCTGCCAACTCTGTATGAGGAATTACAAGCCACAGGGGTTTGAGTAATGTAATAGGTGAATTGACACAGGGTGAAAAAGTAGAATTTTAAGGTTTTTTAGAATGTAATTCAGGCGTCCAAGATGGAAGAATCTGGGCGTGCCCTAGCCTCTTCTTCCTTCTTTTGTTCTCCATGTCTTGGTGTGATGGTGACACTTTTCTATTGGTTTAAGAGAAGGACACACAACATAGATGTCAGATATTGGTGCTTTTTTATAAACAGACTGTACATAACTTTTGATATAAATGGGAAACACCACCCGAGAGGGAGAGCAGACTGCCACGGCCTCCTCGCTAGCCAGAGCTGGGCAGGTCAGAGAGAGAATGTTTAGATAAGAAGAATAAACAACCTTGAAACACAATGGGAACCATTCCAGGCTCCTTCTCTGGCTGTGGGGCCAGGGAAGCAAAGATTCTTTTTGATTTCCCGGGGTCACCCTGACCTCAGAACCCCGAGACAAACGCACAGGGCTGGGGGCTCCATGCTCAGAGATATTCCATCCATCCCAGGCCTGCCTGAGCTCCATGAACCAGGCTGGACCTCCAGAGCCCCTCCACGCTCAGGCTCTGCTCGAACCCAGCAGAGCCAGAGAGGGGCAGGAAATTAAAGAAGAGAAAGAAAATCATGTGTGTGATCTGCTCCTGGACAGGGAACAGAGGCTGCACAATCAGCCTCCTTTTCCCCTGCTGCTGCAAGTGTCTCCAATGCTGTGGGGAATTAACGGCTCCTTTAGCAAGATTATTAGTTCTTTTTATAGTTCTGCCTTGCCTCCTCTTCCTAATGAACCTAGCCATGCATAACGTATTCAAATTACCCTAAGTCAATCTGTTTTGCATGGGAATAAATCTCCAGGCTGGTTGCAGTGTCACTAAGAGCTGGCAATTAAAGCACAAAGGAAGGGAAGTCATCAGCTCCGATGTGCTGCTGCTCCTCGAGAGCAAAGGGTGCAGTGATACCTGCTCTCAGTGGCCCTCCAACACTGCTTCAACCCATCAACTCCACCGGTTAAAAACAGATTAACAGAGTCGAAGAACTGTTGATTTTTATTTTTTTTTTTTTTTTGTTAGATGTTCTCCTTTCAGTTTTTTTACCGTCATGCAATTGCAAAGCTGGGCTGGGACTTCAGGCAAACACAAAACCACAAAACAAAATAGAAAAAAAAAAAATTTATTTCCTTCTTCACGTGATAACAAAATATTTTCTTAATACATTATGTGTTAAGTTAAAACAAAGAGTTTCCTATGGTTTTATATCTTGATGCCTTGTGAAACTGGGCTGGGCTGGCATTTCAATTACTTGAGCAAGAATTTAGAAAAATCATTAAATTTCTATCACTTTCAACATGCACATTCAGCTGTCTCCAACATCTGTATTTACCTTTTTTTCTGTAACAGACTGTATTGAATACAACTCAAAGCAAGTCTGTCTCATAAACATGACTGACTATTCTGGCATAAAATCAACTGTAACATCAATAAATGGTGAAACTATTTCCTTTTGTTAGGGGAAGACGGAGAGGGAAAATAAGAGTAAGTTAAAAGTAGATGAAATGAAATGAAATGAAAAGCAAAGTCATTACCCAAAGGCTCAGGTGTACTTTGAAAACATGCACACATGACTAGAAAACATGATCACAGGTTCTGTGTGTACCAGCCAGGCCTTCTGGGTAACCCCACAGGGAGAGAATTGTATTTCTCACTTTAATCTTAGAAGTCCATTTCTTTTAAGAGCAGGGCACACCCACCCTGCTCCCATTACAGACATTATCATCTAGCTCAGGAGTGAACACACGACCTTCAAAGTGGCCTCTCAATCTGTTAAAGGATCTTAGAGCACGGAAAGGTAGAACAGTCAAGGACTAAACTGGAAAACAAAGCAGATTTTATATCACAAGATAATCTCCATCTTTTAGCTAGCTGGATCAAATGAAAATGAAGTAAATATAAAATTAAATGCTGAGGAATCAAACCAGCAGTTCCTTTTTAATACACATAACCCTGGAATGCAATAGTGACCATGCAAAAAACAGATGGGCTTTGCTATAAAAACAATTCCTTGCTCAAGTCTTCTTGCACTCAGCACAGTACCAAGATGGGAATAAACCCTGCAAAATCTGTATTTCCTTCCTTAATGCTCCTTCATTAGCTCTGTTATTAAAAGAGAAGTCTCAATAGCTGCCACAGATTTATTAACTCAGTAGCTTGTTATCAACACAGAACTCAGTTATATGAAGAGAAAAATAAATGGCACTTTGCACAACTGCAGTACTAAGATTAAGTGACTTTTTCATTTCATTTTCTCCTTATCCACTCTTCCAGGTAGTAACTTTATGTACTCCTAATTATAAACCCTATTTTTTATGAGCAATCAATGCTAGTATTAATAGAGATGTTGTGCAGTCCAATGGACTGGTCATGACACTGAGATATCTGATAATGGAAAAGACAAAGTCTATAAAACCATACCTCAAAGGTACCTGACTGGAATTTGCATTATCCTGCGACAAGACAAAAAGTTCTCTTCTATCATTATCTCTCAGCCCTGATATTAAAATTATAAATGTGTTACAAACTGCTACCTTGGGCTTGCTACCTGATTTGACTCCTTTTCCCCTCCAAAATCACCTCCTCAAGGTGAAAGAATTGACCTTTCCACAGCTGACAATAATAATTAAAACTGTTCAATGCTCAGAGAAAGGAGGTCCTGGTTTGAC